CTGCTGTAAAACTGGACACTGCCAGCTTTTCTATTATGATGAAATTTGCACATCTTCACAAAAAAAGTAAATTAGGAGAAAAGGCTGAGGTTATTCCCAGCTGCCTGTGTGGGAGATGGAAGACAAGCACTTTGAACATAGGTCTTTAGCTCTTGTGTGTGGCTCTCGCATTAAAAGAGCAAGGCACTGTGGCTCACAGGGCTCTGTGTTGGATAGTGTGTTATTTTGGACAGCTACAAGTTTTGTAGGTCAGCCCTGTTCAGCCAGCTTTGGAAGATACCTTACACAAAGCCTCTGGGTAGAATGTCGAACGATCACAGCAGTGTTCAGGGTACTGCTTGTTCAGTCTCCAGAGTGCCCTATCTCAATTGCCTCTTTTCATTTGCTTCCACAGGAGTCTTAAGAGTCTGCTGATCTGCATGGAAATGAGACAGGGGGGTGGATTTGAAAATAAATGTCAAAGGATTAGGCAAAAGATACACTACAGAGTTCCAGTTGCCCAGAGTTGGCTCATCCTGCATTGCAGGAAGGGAAGGAAAGGACATAAATCTGACCACTCCTTGAGGCTTCTTTTTACCTTTACATTTTGTACAGTGAAAACCCCAAATGAAGTATTTTGTCCTGTCCTGTTCCACAAGCATGGATGTTCTGTTCTAATCTTTCCTGTAATAAGGATAAACCACTTGTACAGACTTCAGTGGGAGGTACTGAACTCTTCAACATGCTTTTTCTGTAGCGTGTGTCTAAGGGTTGAAGAATCTAATTGATAATCTTAATAAAATATTTGACTGCCACTTGGAGGCAGCAGGTAAAACTTCTGTCCAAAAGAACCTGAGAAGCTCACTGTTACTTGGTGTTTGGTTGTAAGACTTCTGTGTTGCAGAAATTGGTAAGCTGCTGAATAGCTGAAATGCAAGTTGCATTCCTACTTCTGCCATTCATTCTTAGGGCTATAAAATTGATGTAGCAGAGTTTATCTTGACATCGTGAGTGATTGTCATTTGATGGCAAGCTCAACACATGTACAAAGGGCACAGCACTTGACAAAACACTTGCAAACTTCTCAGTGCTTTGGACTGTCTTCCTGTGTTTTTGACCTAGATAGCAAAGCGAAATCTCTATTCCTTGTACTTTTTAATGCTTTTTAATGATAATTAAAAGGAAAACATTCTTGGATCTTCTTAAATTTGTCTTTTTAATCTTATACTAAGCTAACTGAGAACACTTTTTTTTCCTCCACCAAGGCTTGCTGGAGTGTGTAACTAGCTTTTCTCCTTTATTTGAAAGTACTCCTTAAGTTATACATACGTTCATGTAGTCAGCCTCTGCTGTGGTCTATGTTGCATTCCTTCAGTGTTTCCACAGAAGCCAGCACCAAAAAAAAAAAAAATTTAACTGGCTTTGCAAGGTAACTTTTCTGGCTGCCCTTAAAAACATTTCAATGTCTCAGAACAAATGACACTGTCCTATTTCAGCTAGTTTTAGTGTTTGATTTCTAGGTTTTTTACTTTTTTCCCTAAGGTTTCCTATGCACGACCAAGTTCGGCTTCTATCAGAGATGCAAATTTGTATGTTAGTGGACTTCCAAAAACAATGACCCAGAAAGAACTGGAACAGCTCTTTTCCCAATACGGACGCATTATTACTTCTCGTATTTTGGTTGACCAAGTCACTGGTAAGTAGGCAGTTTTGCACTTCCTCTCATTTTTGGACTGCCAGTTTAAGAAATATTTCACCTTTCAGTATAATAGTCTTGTCTCTAGAATGTATGAAAGGTGTATGTAGGCCAGAAAATGCAATTTTCTGCTGGAATTGTTCATAAATATGCATGGACAGAAATAGATTGTGGAGTGTACTGAGCCAGCTTGAGTCATGTCCACCTCAAGATGCAGGTTTGAAGCCTGCTTTGTGGCTTGTAATAAATTTACAGCTGCTATAATCTTCCTTTCCAGGCTGCTGCATGAAAATAGTTTCTATGCACCTTATGAAATGCTATTAAACACTTTTTTAATAAAAATAAAATTTTATGCAGAAATGCACAGCTGGTTCTCTGAGGCTAGGATTACAAAAGACCTAGACTGGTAATTGCTGTTAAGACTGTTTTCAAGGTTGCCTCATTAACTTCGGGCACACTAAAGAACATGAACTTTGAGTTCCTCGGGAGCAGATAAGTTCTGTGCTTAGCAGTGCCTTAAGGAACTAAGCTCTAGCAGGTTAGTTGCGTTGTTACAGTATGTGTCTTAACCAGTGAGTGGGTGTCAGTGACACTGTGGTTACTCTTCAGCCTTGGACAGTAATGCATGTGTTTTTACTGGCTCAAATGGCTGATCTTGAGGAGCTTTATGATTTGCTGCCTCACCTGCTTCCAGCTTGCCTGTTCCAGAAATAAGCAATCAAATGAAATGCCAAGCACATGACAGAAGTATTGAGTGTGCAAAGCAAAATACAAAGGAGCAGGGCTCTCCAAATTCTCATCTTTGCAAAAAACTAGGGGTGTGGGGTGGAAGAATTCATTTAGTTGCATAATGATTCCCTGAATAATAAACTAGATTAGATTATTTTTTTATAGCTGTACCTTTTCAAAGTCACATGTCATCATGGGTGACAAACAGCTTTCAGCTGTAGGAGGTCATAATGTTTTCAAATGGTCTTTGAACGGATTGTGCATGCCAGTGTTTGACATTTGGCTGACCTGTAGAGAACCTCATATGTACTACTTCGCAATTCCATTATGTTAACAGAAATCTCAATATTGACACATAATACTTACAAAGTGTTTTAATAGTGTGAATTGATGAGAGTGTAGAGAGGCAGGGAAAGGAAAGCTAAAGACCAAATAGTGACTTGTAGAAGCAGCAGATTTGCAGGTCAAATTTCCAGTCTTTGTGCAATAAATAGCTGTTTACAGTATGTTCCTGTATATTCATGCATGGAAATGGTGGGATTTGACAAATAGGCCAAATAAGTAAATGTAACTAAACTTTTAAATGTGTACTGTAATTCTAAGTACTCATAAAGCCTAGTATGTGCACAGTAGTTCCCTGGCATAGGCTGTTGTTCAGGTTTAAGCTTTCTTCCCTCCTTCTTAGTAATTTGGAAGAGGTGGACTCAAAATAGTATGAATAATAAGGTTGTGACACAAACTGACAGATGAAAAATGCAAAGTTGAAGCTGTAACATTTGCCTCAAGATTTCTTACATCTGCTCATTGTCACTTCGATGGTTTAAATTTTCATTGTTTATGAACAGAATACATTTATTGTTGTTAATGCCTTTCTCAAGTGAGGACAAGTGTTTAACTTGTCTGTTTATTCATGAATCAAAATATAAGGGGCCTCTAAATGGATTTAGGAATACAACAAAGCATGCAACTAACTAGTGTTGGCTGTAGTAGCTTTAATGTTAATTGGTTCAAGTATTGACACTCAGTGTGTTTATATTTAAGCCACAGTGTAGACTTTTGAGGTGCATGTTCTAAGACCTTCCATAAACACTTCTGATCCCCTTGCATGTTGTCTTTGACTTTTCTATACCAAGGAAGAATCTATGGCCCAAGAAAAGTTTCCTTCAAAAATAACACGTACAAAAGTATGGTGGTATGCTGAAACTGAATCTTTTACTTAAAGGTAACCATGGACTGTTAAAACAGGGCCGTAATTCCCATTACTGCAATCTAGAACCTGCGCGCCATTCTTTGTCCTCTCAGCATATTTGCTCCCCAGGGAACTTCAAGGGGTGCTGCAGGAGAGCATAAGCCATTTCTTGCTGCTAGGGAGCAGATGACTAAGCTATTTACAGAATTTCTATGAATTTAGATACTGCAGAGTAGCATGAACTGAATGGAGGTTACAGTGCAGCTGGTTCTGGGTTCACCTCCATCCCCTGCCAAAATTGCTGTTTCAGGATTACCCTTTGGCTCACTATGTTTAAGTTTGCTCCACTATGTTTTCCCTCAACTTTCCAAGCTTTTTACACAATGTCTCTTATCTCAGTTAAAAAAAAAAAAAAATTACAATAGAAAAGTCTTACTTCTTGGAGCAAAAGCTCGGTTCTAAGCAGCTCAAAATTATCATGTGTTCATAGCAATTAGCCATTAACATAGCAATGGTCTATGAAAATCAAATGTTAACCTCTAATATTCCAGAGTATCTGAATTAATTCCTGTATGCTTCCATCACCCTGTGCAGGGGTATCAAGGGGCGTGGGGTTCATCCGGTTTGACAAACGAATTGAAGCAGAAGAAGCTATCAAGGGCTTGAATGGCCAGAAACCTCCAGGTGCCACAGAGCCCATCACTGTAAAGTTTGCTAACAATCCAAGCCAAAAAACCAATCAGGCCATCCTTTCCCAGCTGTACCATTCTCCAAACAGAAGGTATCCAGCACCTCTAGCTCAGCAGGCTCAACGTTTTAGGTAAGTCAAATACATACTTGTGTGCAACTGTGCTGGAAGCCACATGTTCCCATGGGCCTGTTTGTTTCCCTCCATTCTTTCCCTTCCCTGCTTGTATGATTTCTGTGTGTGAAGGAAACACATGAAAAAGTTGAACCTCAGCTATGCTCCTACAATACAGCTAAAAGCAAAAAAGCATTCCATCCTATTGATAGCATTGCAGTATCTAATAAACCTACTTAATTAGAGTTAAACTGGGATGACAACTTTTTCTTCTACACAGTCACTAAAAAAATCCCTTTTTAAAGGTTATTTTTAATTTCCTAGATTATTGTTGATTAATGTGCAAGTTGGTTCAGTTAACATTGACCTAGGCAATTCAATTTTCTTCTTAGCCATATGGCATGTCACAGCCAGCCTCCTCTTCCCCATTCTGGCTTTCAGGTTGTTTTCCTAGTCAGTTGTCTAAATTCTATGTGCCACACTTCTTTGTCTTCTCTTACTACAAACTTCTGTAATGAAGATTATTCAAACATTTTCTGCATGTGTATTTGCGGATATATGTTCCCATCATGCTGAAGCTACAGCCGTACAGTTCCCTGTGATATTTAGTGTATTGAAAAGGACAGATGGCGAGAACAAAGTGAAACAAATATTGTATTATCTACATTCATAAGTACCTCGGATTTCTTTCAGTGATTTTAATAGTTTCTTCCCACCCTCTGCCCCTGGGCTATGTGACTGGAATGCGTTAAACAGTAATGTACTCAAACAGTTTCTATTTTATTTTTCAAGAAATAAAATCAGCTGGCAGTTTGCTTTAAAGAGAATATACCAAACTTCAAAAGCTCTGCATTGGCTACCCTCGCTTTTAGGCTGAACATCCAGAGTTTATGGACTGCACTTCTGGCAGAACTTCTGCATTCTTCTTTTCTTCAGCTTTTCAGCCTTATGTGCTGCAAGTGTCTCACAGGTGTGAAGGTCAGCACTAGAGTAGGCTTTCTGCCCTAAGGGAAGGGTTAACCAATTTTATTCATTATTTGGTGGATTTTCTTACCATTTCTTAGCACACTTTAACCCTTTTATTCCCTGAATATTGAATAAAAGTAGGCTTGCCATTGTTCCATAGGCTGAGCAGCATAGGGGCAGAAGTTGCACTTGCAGGATGGACCCAAGTGTATTATATGACATAAGATCATGAGGGAGCTGTTGTACAGCCTGTGTGTTACAGCATTCAACGTATTCTGGCCAGTCTGGCCTGCTGACTCTGAGTTCTTCTGAGTGCACTTGTTCCCAGATACTCGGCTGTGTTTGGTATTACTCTGATACTGGCTGGGATTGCATCTGTATTTAACTGATACTCCAGGTAGATCTATCATGATTTGTAAAAATTCGCCAACTTTAGGTCCTATCCAAAGAAAAATCTCCAGAAGTTCTTTGCAGTTAAGTAATTTCAATAGACTACCCCTGTCCTGCAACATTAGGCTTTGAACCTTAAAAATTGGATTGTTTGTGATTTATTTTTGTTTAAAAGGAAGTGTATTTTTATGAATGTCCTTTTAAATTTCACTGGAAAGTTTTTTGGTTTTTTTTTCCTGAGATAACTAAGTGTAAAGTGATGCCTGAAGCATCCATAAGAGATACTGTGATTTGCTCCACTTAAAAGTGTAATGGTAACAAAAAGCACTGAGTAGGTACCAAGTCTGTAGTGAATAGGAGGGAGAGTAAAATCTTTCTCACTTTCATCAATGTGGAAGGAAGAACAAGGTTGAACTGACTGGTCAAAAGGTAAACTGGTGTTGCAGACAAAATTAGATTTTTTTTTTTCATAATTTTTTGGGGAAGGCCTTCGGGCTTCTGTAAAAGAGACAGCCTTGCCCAATTTTAAATTTTTGTAAGGGAAATCTGTCTTATTTGGTTTTTTAGGTCTTTGCTTTGCTGTTGTTGCAGCATTCCAGCTCTGTTGCTGACTACGTAGATCTTTCATGTCTTTCACATGCAAGAAATCTTAGCTGTTGATATTTCAGACAGGATTACCTGATGCAGTTGCCCTGTCTCTGTTAACGGTTGACAGAGGCCTGAAAACAGATGGCATAAACTTTAGTAGTGAAGAACAATAGGATCACTACAATGCTTCTTTTTGTCTTACTAAGAAAAATCTTGAGCTGGACTTTCAAAAGCAGCTGTATATAATTGTTCTTCAGTTTCTGTAGGATGTGTAACTTAAAGCATCTTTAAAACCTGTCCAGTGAATACCCCTGAGAATTTTTCCAGAATATTTTTAAGTCATCCAGGTAACTGATGAAAACTGTTACGGTGATACCATTACTGTATGAAGTCCTCAGCCGACTGCTCTACAGCAAGGACCTGTAAGTGGTGGTGTTTCTGGAACTCTTCACCTTCCTCTCCACCCCCAAAATGTTAATGACAGTAGACCTCTGTCATCTGCACTAAGTCTACTGATAGTAGTCAGCCATTTTTTAATTTCCTCTTTTCTGCCCTTTTAGGGGTTCAGTGGCTTTCTTGTCAGTACATCCTGCAAACCCTGCTCACTGCAGAATCATAATGCTCTGTAGTTTGAGACCTTTACTTAGCTGCAAACAAGACCAGATATTTTTTTCTTTGGGTTTTTTGTGCACAAGTGTAGTTACACTACTGCAGCACTTCTGTTTGGATTCTGTATACCAGTACTGGTTCTTAAATCCTATAGCTGATTACTGGAGAGAAATTACAGTAAGGTACAGATCTGTAAGGTAGCTGTAAGCTAAAAACTAAATCAAGTGTACCTTTTTTTACCTAAGCTCATATTTTGTGGAGTCCTGAAGAGAACCTTTAACAAGACTTTCTCTTCACATGTCTGGACTTTGCCAGGAAGAAACCAGAACTTCTTTAAGGCAGAAATTTTCTTAGAGAAGCACTTTAAGGGACTTCAGGAATAAGATTAATAGCATTGGTAGGCACTGCATGTTCCGGGTATTGGCTAGGTAGTTCCAAAGGGTTTAGAATTGTGGTTGAATACTACAGTTTAGCAGCTTGGGGGAAGGTGAGGGAAGAAATACATGGAGAAAGCTTACAGTCTAATATGTATGTGTGTGTATTCTAAAAACACTTTATTCTGGAAAAGAGTAGGAAAACAAAAAATCTTTTTTGCAGTTCACGTTCTAACATTTGTTACTGCTCCAAAACCCTGCGTCTTACTGGGTATTCATGTCAGCAAACTATCAGAAGCATCAGTAAAGTCTTCATCCAAAAGAAGTTAGTAATCTGGAAAATTTCACTGAGGTGGTCACTGACTGTAACTTTATGCTAACAGTATTTGACTTAGGCTAAACTTGTGGTAGTGGTGTTCTTTCTGAACTGAACTATTTATGGTTGTGGATACTACACAAGAACATCTATTTTGTATTCACTAGCTGTATGAGGTGTAATAAGGTGCCACAGTTCTTTCAGTGGTGATACTTTAACTTTGCATGAGGTTCTGTACAGTGCAAGGGATATGGCAGTAATTTACCAAGTTTCCTTAAGATTAAAGGGTGGAAAAGTCTGAAGACTGAACACTTTGTTAAATATTTTGCAGGTTGGACAATCTGCTCAACATGGCTTATGGAGTAAAGAGGTAATAAAGGACTATTAGGTTCATAATAACCAGATTATTGTTAAGTATTTTGCGTACTCTTACTTTTTCAGTAAGACTTATGTTGGATTTTTGCATGTTGAGACTTCAGCTGAAATTGTTCATTTTGGTGCATTGTGCATGAGACAAACCTTCTGTAGCAGTTCCATGGAATTCCTGTTTCAAATGACTTACTAATCCTCACTGGTTTTATAGCATGCTTTTCTTTGTTTATCTATGTTAATTCATTTCAGACAGACCTAGCACTGTTCCCCAACTTGTGTATAGTATTGCATGTAGTATTTGTGCGGTTGGGGCGGGGGGGGGATATTTGCGATGTTACCTTATTAGTCTGGCCAACATGTTCATGCTGTGAAAAGCCCTGTATCACTTTCGTTTTTATTTTGAAATTTCTTTGGTAGGATTTTCTGTGAACAGCTACTTTATGATTCTATTTTGTTTCCCCCATTCTTTAGTAGGTTTCCTCCAATGACCATTGATGGAATGACCAGTTTGGCCGGAATTAATATCCCTGGACATGCAGGAACTGGATGGTGCATTTTTGTGTACAACTTGGCCCCTGATGCTGATGAGAGTATCCTCTGGCAAATGTTTGGACCCTTCGGAGCAGTAACCAATGTGAAGGTCATCCGTGACTTTAACACCAACAAGTGCAAAGGTTTTGGATTTGTGACTATGACAAACTATGATGAGGCAGCTATGGCAATAGCCAGCCTGAATGGATACCGCCTCGGGGACAGAGTATTGCAGGTCTCCTTCAAAACAAACAAAACGCACAAAGCCTAACAAGTTATTCTCAGTGCATTAATACATGAAAACTATACAACAAAGGCAATTTACAAGAAGCTTTATGCATTAGTAAATGCCTTTGTTGTATGCCAGTGTGGAAATGGGGATAAAATGACTACTTAGCATCCTAAGAATATGTGAGATTTTTTATTGCTAATATTTGAATTAAAACTTCTTAAATATCTTTTGTGTTTGAATATTGACAAGAGGTACAGGGTTTTTACCTGTCACAATGCATATTCTATTGCCTTCTTTGAAGAAGGTGAACCTTTTAAAATGTTTCAGCTAAGGGAAGAAGTTTTTTCTTTTTACATGACTGCCTTTAACCTATGAGTAAATATTGAGGCTTTGTGTTATACTTTTTAAGTTGTTTTTATGTTATTTCTTGATTTGCCTTGTGTTTAATTTACATTTTAATGCATTGCTGTTTTGTTGTTCAAGAAAAGTATTTGAAGTTTACATTTTATTTATAAAGTTATAAGCAGTATTTATTTTATAATTATCATTTGGGTTGGGGAATGGGAACACATTATAAAAGCTTATTGTAAGAATACTGGAGAACTTTTCGTAAAGCAGTACCTTGCCAAAGAGATAAGAGCCTCTTTGATGTGGGTTTAAAAAAGCATCTATTTTTATAAAAAAAAAAAAAAATTTGGAGAAACTTTTTACTGGTCCTGGAACAAATATTTTGACTTGAATACTTTGAGAAATCTCTTCATATGACACCTAGTGAGCTTTTAAAACTTACCAGGAAATTTGCAATTGTTGGGGAAAATTTAGAAAGATTTATGATGTAGAAATACTTTTGAGACCTTTGTATTAAGAAGTAGAGTCAATGGGATGCACTGTTGGTTTCATTTTTGTAATCATCAGTGGAGTCTTTGATCATCCTGGTTATTAAGTGATAGGTGGCTCACATTAATTTGTGATTTTGAAACAAATGAAAATTTAAAAAAAGAATATAAGAGCAAGCAGGAAACTTAAAATACTGAGAGATGGGGGAAAAAAAATCTGTTCTTCCTAAAGAATTCCCTTCAGATAGAGCTCATGGTGTTTAGTGATGTACTTGCTATTGTTTGAAGAATTGTTTTGTCTTAAGAAAAGACATTGAGCATGGTTTGCGCAGTAGCAAATCGGCAGAAGTGGCCTGAGTTGGGTATATTTGGAGGTATTTTGAAAGTTATGTTCAAGGCTAACACCTGAGCTTTGTGTAATGTAAATAAGACCTTGAGTTATGAACCTTTCAGCTAATTTTGATTTTAGTTTATTTTTTAAGTTACATGCCAAGTGATGTTCAATTTTGAATGTTTTTGTATGAGTTTTTTCTTTGTAAATGGCATTAACATTGTTACTTGAGGTCTGCTTATTCATTTTTGTTGTCCTGAGGACTTGAATTTACAGTGCATCAGATCTGTTGCTATTTTTGTCTGTAGATAGTCTAGCTTCAGCTGTTTATGGTGATGCTACATTTTTGTTTATAAATATGTTTGTGGTAAAAAACAAGTATAATCATAGGTTTTGAACAAATTTCCTTACATTTTTCATACAAAAACCATAAATACCTGTATGCTATTGAAATTTAACTTTGTATGATGCTTAAATCACTATTTGGGGAAATAGAAAAAGTCTTTACCATGTATTGAAGAAGTTTAAGAAAAAAAAATACAGAATATTTTCTGATTAGCATCTAGCTTATAATTAAATTTTTAAAAAAAAAGCTGAGGGTTTGATGCCTTCACCAGGATGCACTGACAACTATGTAATTACGTCCTGCTTTTTGTATAAACTGAGATGCTCATATGCTTCCCCTTAGAAAAAGCAATGTTCTATGCATAACATAGTTGTACACTATCTTTGCAGTTGCTTTTGGTTCTTATTCTTTTAAATTGTAGTTATAAATTTTTCAGTATAGTACAGTACATATACTGTGAAGCGCGTGCTAAAGTGAGTAAGCGAGTTTTCATGCTGACCCACTCAATGCTATTCAAAAATCAATTGGCTTCCTGAGCACTTCCTCATTCTTAGGTGCATTTAGATTGTTAAAGCTAATCCTCTGCGTTAAAAATTGTATATACTATAGAAATCACAAACTTTCCAATGTGGGGAAAACAGTAGCTACATGCTTCTTTCCTATACTACTGTAGCAACTAACGGCATTGATGAGAAGGCATGTAAATTGGGCTTCACTTTACAGTGTTTATCAGAGCACTTAGTAAAATATAAGGCTGGTATTTATTTGAAGTTGTATAGTATGACTTAATTCACATCTGTTGGAATAGAAAATATATTCTGTTGAGTATTTAAGAGGTTGTACATGTTTTCTTTTGTGTTTGGATCCTTTGTACTTTTTCATGTTCAGTACATCAATAAACAAAGTTGAAGGGAAAATGGTGTCATGAGCAGGTCCTTTACCATGTTGTCCTCTGCTTTAATGGGTAAGCAGTCTGAGTGAAAGGTTTCCACAAAGCTCTTGAGCTCCTTTTAACTTAGCTTAGGATCCTAGTTACCAACAAGGAGGTAAGACAGTGGAGCTGTGTACCGGTTCTGTTATGTTAGAATTAGTGTTGAATCTTTTCACTTTGGTTTTATATGAACCACTCAATACTTAGGCTAATATAATAAATGACGGTCATTAGACACATTCAGTAAAAATTAATTTGCTGTCTGTCTAGCAGACTGCTACTCAGTGTAACTAAGCTAATGCCCTAGTATGTTAGGATAAATACAGAGGAGGAGGAAGGACTTACTCTTTATTGCAATGCCCATTTGCTTTTAATTACTGCATTTATTTCTGGGCTCCATTAAATGAGTGGATATTCAGTTAAGCTTAGTTTGCTGTCCTTTTCCCTTCCATCTCTTGAAATTCTTTAAAAATAGTCAACTGTCTCTTGCCCTTTTAAAGTACATATACTCCTAAATTAATTTGCTTTGCTCAAATGAATGAGAGTGAATTTCTACCAGTGAGAATACAATTCCAAAAGTGGCTTATGCAGTATAGCTTTTATTCTTAACTGGTTTTTTTTCGCCTTCTCTTCTACATCTTCACTGTGAGATTTTTTTTTTTGATACAAAACCTTGTAGCATGTGTTGTGGTGTGGAGCATCTCCCATCACTACAGTGTGATGGAGTTGAGTTTACTTGGATGATGAGGTCGTAAGTCTGTGGACAACACATGTAGATAATAGTACCTCAAGATGTCAGTCATAACAAGTGTTGACAAACTGATTCTTTATATTTACTTACAGAAATAGTGTGTACTGATGACTTTTTATGTGGTTATGTTCTTTGGTGGCTGGAGCAATGAAAGGATGCAAGACATGGTGCTTGGCAGCAAATGAGGGGCTATATTTGGAGTTCATATTCCAGCAGGGACCTCTGCGTGTTCAGCTTGTACTCTTTCACAGAAGGATAGTTTCAGTTCTCAACTTAACCAGTTTGAGTACAGTGTAACTAGCCATGGTTGAATTATTCTGTTATATGGAAATTAAGACAAAATGTGTTTATGTAATTGCCTTCAGTTTAAAATCAAAACTGCTTATATTTTGAGGGTTAGCTGCAGATAAGCAGGCAGTCAAGGAGCAACACTAAAAATTCAGTTAAGTGCCATTTCCCAGAGGAAAGGTCAGTGCTGAAAAATACAGATTTGATTATACGTAGCTGAGCACCTCTGGGTAGTCAGAACTCATGAGTAAGGGAACCCGATGCAAATTTATACAGAGGTAGTACTTTTCTTCTTTAGCTTTATCATAAAACTTTAATATAGTAAGAAAATATGAAACTACTTCATGCGATATGGTGGAGGAGGACTATTCCTTTTGTACCTAAATAAAAGAGTTCCAGGAATGTCTATAAGCATCTGTGTGGGACTAACAGTGGTAAATAAGACAAGCTGTGGAAGCATGACCGTGGTGGAGGGTGAGCTGTAATTGGGGTTCATGAGTGTTGGCTGGGGCACTTGTGGAAGGGCTTCATTACTGCAGAAACATGCTTGAGGCTTCTGTGGCTGCTTCTGTGAAGGATGCATGTGATGAAATCAACTGTGACAGGTGAACTTCCCACCTGCATCTAGAAGAGCCTTCCTTTGGCAAGAGAGCATTTTCTTAGTGTGAATGAAAAAGGTGTGTTTTTTTAAAGCAGATGGCTGTCTGTCGGGGTCGTACATGGTGTGTATTCGTTGCGTAACACCCAGAGGTCATCGAGTACTAGTAAGTCTGGGATACTCTTACCTGTACTGCTGAGCAGGCCTGACTGATGTTTAAAATCTATTTCCCTTTGTATTGTCACTGCATGAAGGTGACTAAAGGTATAGGAATGGTGACTTAAGTTAAACCTTGAAAAGCAGCAACTAGTTAGGACTCGCTATCAAAAAATGTATAGCTTTATTTTATGACTAGCAGACAGTATCTCAGTTTTTTACTGTAACAGAAATGAACACAATTTTGAGATATATTCCATCATGGGTAAAATAATGGCCTGGGGTTGTGCTATTTCATCCCTGTCAGCACTGTTCATCCAACTCTGCTTGCACCTTCTTTTATGTTGGGCTTTGCCCAGTTGTGGCATTCGGACTTCAACATTTCAATGCATGCATCTCAAAACCGAGAAGAATGCACCTATTTTTACACTGAAATTTTCCTAATTAAAATTTGCTGTAGAGGCACCTGTCTACAAAACTACTGCTATGATGACTAATGCTTTGGGCCAGCAGATGTGCTAGCACATCAGAGGTCATCTGGGCCAAGCAGCTTAAAACAAAGCTGGGGGAGAGATTGGGTCTTTTGGTGGGAGGAGATGGAGCAGGTACACTTTGGTAACATGTGGAATGTCTACCTCTGGGGTGAAGAGCAGTTTTAATCTGAAAAGCTTGACTTGTTGCCCTCACTTTTAGTAACTATGACAAAAAATGAGGAAGCAATGTAAACTTTCAGGTACCTTCAAAGCAACATACGAGTGACTTCAGTGGGTTAAGAGGTTGCCTAACTTTATGCTATCAAGTCTGGTGCATTACTGTCTTGTCTTGTAACTACCCTCCTGTTTTCTGGTTTTGACCAACATTCTGCTCTGAGACATAAACGGGAACAAGGAAAACTTACTGATTTTTTTATACTTGTAAGGCCACTATAAAAACTAAGCATAACTGCAGAAAGTTAATAAAACATCTGATTTCTTACTTTATGTACTATATCATGTGACTCCTATACATAAGTGAATTTAAGTCAATATGACATTTTTAGTGACTCTGTAATACTGCAAGGAAAGTTGCTACAACTGCTGGCAGAATATTGATCATAAACACTGCATACTTTATAAGAACATAAAAGCTGAATTTTAATTGGAAGTAACTCTCACTAAATTATTTTCATTTTTGCAGTAGGACCCTTGCTTAGTACAGCACATGTATGTTGCTTTGAGTGCAAGGATGTTCTTAGTGTCAAGTGTTTACATGAATGTTCTGCTGATAAAAGCTTCTGCAGGTCACCCAGCTGCTGATACAACAGGGCTATTTGCTGACACTTACAAAGGACAATATTCTCTAATAAAAAATTAAATAGCCCTGAAAGCTAGTCCACTGCTTCTTGATGTCTACCTGTCTGAAAAGTTTAGTATTAACTTTTAGAAAGGAAAGGTATTCTGTAGCAGCCTGTTCTGTAAGAAGGAAGGTGGAGATAGCTCAAAGTGAAACACTGCTTTCCTACTGCTATCTGTGCTTTGTGTCATGATACGAAGTGCAACAAGCAAAAGCGTGGTGGCAGACTTTAGTTTTTCTGTCCTTGATTAACATTGGCATTATTCTGATGGATCCAAAACAGTTCCGTTGTACCCTTCACTTGAAACTGCCTGTCTTCCCTGTTCAACAGTTCATGTTTTCTGAGAAGTTATGACCCCAGAGACTTTCTGGTTGAATTACTTGAAGTGGTATGTTGCATATTCATTGCAAAC